CCCCCAAAAAAAAAAAAATAATAAATAAAAAATTGATAAGCAACTTCGTGAGCTTGAAATGAGCTATTTCCTTTCCAATCAAACCACAAAAGATAAATGGGATTAGAGGGAACAAAAAAATCGTAAACGAAGAACTAACTTTCAGCGTTTAACCAAAAACAAAACGATCAACCATCAAAGGATTAAAGATAACAAACCTTGTGGATTCTCGGATTCGAACGGAAGAGAAAAACCCTAGGATAGAGGAAGAGAAAGCCCGAGTCGTTTCTTACGAAGCCTTGATGATCCAATTCTGTTCATTTTAAATAGCGAAAGCGAGCCCTAGCATTGATGTTGTACATTTCCGACCGTCCGATTAGCTGACTTTTTTTTTTTATTAAAAGACCTTCCTTCAATGAAGCCGAATGATTTTCTCCCCCCCAAAAAAAAAAACGACAGAGATTTCTATAAAAATATATATATATATATATTTTGGAATTAAAAGAAAACAATAAATTAATATACTTTCATAAGTTTTTAAATTAACACATTCTATTTCTTTTAGAAATTTAACAAAATTGAAATTTCAAACTTATTGAATATAAAATTAAAATTTTAAGAATTTAATTATAAAAAAAAATTTCAAAAACTTGTTAGACGCCAAACTGAAACTCAAGACTTTAAAGAAATTTTTCAAGCATTAGAAACCAAACTGCTGCTAATAATAATAAATACACTCATATGGATGAAGAATACAGTAGTTCTTCTTCACCTTCGTTTTGGTTATGAAGTTTAATAATGGCATAAACAGCATGAAGTAAAGCATATATTTCATCACTCTTCGGATGTGATCTATCTTCCACAACGAACTCATGAATCCCATCTCCCACTTCAATATAACTACATCCTGCTCTCTTCCTCATATGTCCTCCCTTCATCATCTTCCTCGCCCTCGCAACTCCGGACCAATCCCCGGCCGATGCGTAAATGTTTGAGAGAATGACATAGTTTCCAGGGTTCCATGGCTCCAGCTTGAATAAGGACTCAGCTGCTACTTCACCCAGTTCAACATTGCCGTGGAAGCTGCAAGCTCCCAGAAGAGCTCCCCATATAACAGAATCAGGAAGCATTGGCATGCTCTGAATGAGGCTGTAAGCTTCTTCTATCTCTCCCGCCCTGCCCAATAGGTCGACCAAGCACCCATAGTGCTCTAATTTGGGAGCAATTTGAAACTTTCTCTCCATTGATTCAAAGAGTTGTCGACCTTTCGCAACCATGCCCCCGTGAGTGCAAGCCAAGAGCAGCCCTACAAATGTCACGTCATCGGGTCTTGTTCTTTGTATCTGTTACGACAATACAATTAGTTTTTAAGTTCAATGCCATAACGCATCAGCTTCAACGTTTTAGATCTAGCAGTAGTTTAGTTTACATGCATCAAAGTAGGAGATTATGTCAAGCATACATATTCAACATGTCAAGAACAGACATAAAAGATGAAGTACAACATACTCTACCCACTTAAACATCTGAATTTATTGGTGATTTAGAAACTAAAATCCAAACCAAACAGAGGAAGAAGGATACAGAAGCCTCACCAACATTTGATCATAAAGCTGAAGAGCATCACGGCATCTTCCATGAACAGCCAATCCCATTATCATGGTATTCCACGAGCACAAATTTCTTTTGCTTCCAATCTCATCAAAAACTCGCCTAGCTTCCTCAATGTTACCGCACCTAGCATGCACTTCCAGTATCGCATTGCTCACATACAAGTTTTTGAAAAACCCATTCTTCCGAGCGTAGGCTTCAATCCTCTTCCCAATATCCAACGCCCCAAGATGGGCACAGGCAGGAAGAACACTGGCTATGGTCACCTCATTCGGTTTAGTGCCTTTCTCGTTTTCCAACCTCAGAAACATCTCCAAGGCCTTCGCATACTTTCCATTCTGCGCATATCCAGATATCAAGGCTGTCCAAGAGATCACATTTCTCGTAGGCATTTTGTCGAACAATTCCAATGCTGCCCCCATGTACCCGGACCTCGCATAACCTGCAATCATCGAATTCCAAGTGGGTATATCTCGAACAGGCATTTCATCAAACAGTTGGCGTGCAGACTTCAAAATCCCCAATTTCCCATACATGTCTAACAACGCCGTCAACGCAAATACATCGGAGGCAAATCCGGACTTAAAGAAATGGGAATGAAGCATCTGACCTGGGTAAGCATTTAAAAAGGAAGCGCATGCGGGAAAGAGAAAGGTGAATGAATGGTGATTGGGAGAGCAACCTTGGAGGCACATTTGATAGTAAAGCAACCAGCATCGGTGGTGGTGACCAATGGAAGAAAATGTTTGAATGAACTTGTTGTAAAGAAAAACAGAAGGTTTAGGAATAAGGTCGAAGAGGGTGCAAGCATACGGTAGATTTGGGATCTGCAGGAGTTTTTGGATGAGGAATTTGGTATAATCTACGCCGTTTCTGAGGCTGTAGGCATGAATCTGCTTCAATTGGTTCATAACACTTCCGCACCATATAGCATTCCAATTACCTTGTAAATGCAGCGGCCGGATCCTGAAGACGAAAAATTCAAATTTTACCAACCTCTCTGGCCGAGCTTCGAAACAAAATGACCTGTGAACCAATTGAGGCTAGAGCAAGCAAATGATAGTGTTTCTGATTGATTAAAATTGTAAAAATTAAAAATAAATTTAAAACAAATAGCAGTATTCAATAATAATTTGTACAGTTTCTTTGATTGACTCCACTATTATTATTATAGTTATTATTTTGTGCAAAAAAAACATTTAAATATTGTGGGAAATGTGGAGGAAAATGTTGGTAACAGGGCGTATAATGAGTTTGGTCGTGCATGTGCACCTATTACTGCTCTATTATTAATGCCTTTCACGTGTGTTATTCATCACCCTTACTAATGATGAAGCTTAAATATTTTAGGAAATTATTTCAATTTTTAAAATTAGTTTTTAATAATCGGTATAAAGAATAATTTAAAGTTTATGTACATGAAAAATATTTGAAACTTCTAAAATATTGGTTGATTATGGTTAGAAGTATGATTGATGTGAGTTTTAATTGCAATAACAGTTCGTATACTATTTGATCCAATAGAGGGATGAGTTTAATTTATTATTGAAATTTAATTAAACAATCTGTAATAAAATAACAATCTCCAATTGCCGACAATTTCTAGAACAAATCAATCCATTCAAATCCTCAAACTTTGAAATTGTTTTTAACAAAGATTGGTGGATGTTTTTTCTCAATCATTTTAATATCCAGTCTCAAATTTGAAAAATATACCTGAAATATATTTTTTAGTTTAGTGTTTATTTAGTCAATGGATTTTAAAATATTATATTAATTTTCATTTGGTCCATAGAATTTTAATATTTTACAATTATACTCTTAAATTTTAATTAATGTTATTTATAGTTAATTATTTATTAGTATAAAGAGAGAGGGAGGGGTCACAACTCAGCAAGTTAGGGTTGGGAAGATTGGAAGCGGGCTGCTCACAATCGACAGCTGGGGATGACTGAACACATAATTGCACCCACTATTATTGGGTTTAATTTTAATTTTATTTTTTATTTTTAATTTTTAATTTTTAATTATTATTATCCCATTCTAATTCTAATTCCAATTCAACACAACCCACACCCACGTGTAAAATACCAATCTTTACGATTTTTCAAACAAAAGAAATAAATAATATTGGGAATAGAATTAGAAAGAAACAAAAGCAGGCAGGGTGCGTTGGGTTGTGTCCAGGCGTGTGGAGTGAGGCTAAAATTAAACCCAGAGGACAGGATCCCTAGATACAGCACACCCGGACACCCACCCTTAATTTTAGACCCAACATTTCTATGGTCATTATTATCTCTTCTTCATACCCCATTCATATCTCCACATCTCTTTCTTTTCATTTTATTTCTAATTACATAATATAATAAAATTTTCAAATAGAAAAAAGAAAACGAAATTTGAAAATATTTCCTATGGTTGTCTGTATTAATGAGGAAAATAGTAACGCATTTACAATTTCCACAACAAGTGTGACCAAATTAAAGCATTTTTTTTTCCATACAAATTTGTTACCCAAGAAGGGCAGAAAATAAATAAATCTGACACAATCAAAATAATCTCCCTATCTAAGCCTCCCCCCCCCCCC